GCCGGCACCGTTCGGGCGGCACCCTCCCCGCGGGGGAGAGGGCGGCGGGGAGCCGGCGAGCCGAGTCGACGGCCCGGAGTCGGGGGGTGAAAGTTCGCCGTGGGCTGCGCGCGGTCGAAAGCAAAGCGTTCTGATCAGTTGCTTTGATTGTTTGCTTTAGGGGGTCCTTCGGTGAAACAGAAGTTTGTTTTCTCTCTGAATCCGTGGTCCGTAGTGTAGCTTTTTCGTGTGAAAAGGACCCGCGTGCCCGGCGCCGTGGGCTCGCCCTTCCTTGATAAGCAAGCTCCCTGCATCTCTTGCTGCAGCCACGGGCCGCGTTACGTTACGGTGTGGAAAAGAACGTGCCGTTCCGATTTTTTCAGCTTGGTGATTTTCAGGTTCGAAGTGTCTGAAATACTTCCCGATGGCATTCATGGCAGAATTTCAAATGTAAGACTGTGCCATGCTGGGATGATATAGCTACAAATTCAGTTTGTCCGCTGATTCCTGCCTCTGGGAGGTCACCTGGTGACTAGAGTCCAGTGTGAGAAGCTAGTGTGGTTTTAATTTTTCACTTGCGTCGCGTGTATCCGTGTTTAAAGACTACCTAATAACCAAGTCAGAAATGCGCGCCAGGAGGCGGGGGTCTCACGGTGCAGGGACGGGGTGGGAGGCCCGTGACAGCCGGGGAGGGCACATTTGAAGGAAGGTAGCTGTCACTGCCTGCGGTAGACACGTCTGTTTCTTAATCTGTGCCGGATTGGTAGCTGCAGAGCTGAGGCCTAAGGGCGGAGGCCATTGGGAGCTGGGTACCGGAATCGATCTTTCCAGGGGCTGCTTGGCCGCTGTTTCTCTGTTGCAGCGCTTGACATACCGTTGTAGGCAGCTGAGTGAGGCAGACATAGTACAGGCACGGAGACAGGGCCAGGCCCGCCAAGGAGCCAGTATGGAAGAGAAGACACCCCGCAGCTGTGGGAGAGGCCGGCACTTCCCCTGTGGGCCAGACCTCAGGACAAAAGGTTAGACAAACACACCCACACACCTCCCTAGGGATGCAGGGATTGATATTCTAAATAGGTAGCAACCACCTTGAAAAAGCCGGGAAGAGCCACCCACCCAACCCCCTACAGGAAAAGCTAGTATTCATGCTGTATTCATGACTCACTTCCCCATTCGATCCCGATTCAATCGGTTTTACCTGGGCTATTATACTGGTAATCTCCTAGGCTGGCCGCAGTTTTGTCCACCCCTGCCCACCTTGTGAGTTCGCATGTTTCCCACCTTGGACCCGCCTCACCTCCTGGTTTTGCTCTAGGAAAGTCCCTAGGAAAGGTAGGTTCCTTGGCGACCCACTCGGGCCCCTCTGTCCTCCTCTCTGAGGGCAGCTTTCTTTCCCCCAATAAACACATTCTGCTCTTGACCTCCACTGATCCTAAAATGCATTCTTCGGTTTTAGAGAACTCGAGCTCGGTGTCTTTCGCGTTGGGAGTTTCTTTCCCCTATGTCAGTACTATCTCACGGTACTTTATATATATATTTTTATTTGCTCCTAAAACCACTTTTTAAGAGAGCAGACCTGTATTTTCCCTGCTTTCGTGTTGTGTGGAGGAGTCTGTGTTAACTGACTTCCATTAAATCAAAAGATGCATCTGTGGAGAAGCCCCAGGCCATAGGTCATTAAGCTTTCCCCAAGAGAAGTTTGAATCCCTAGCTCTTTTTTTTTTTTTTTTTTTTTAAACTCTGGGTATTTAACCAGGGAAAATATCCCTCACTCCATCCCTAGCTCTTTTTTTTTTTTTTTTTTTTTAAACTATGTGGCTGGACGAGGTGGCACATGCCTGTAATCCCGTCAGGTCAGAAGCTGAGGCAGAATTCCCCTGAGTTCCAGGCCAGCTCTGGCTACATAGCATGCAAAGCAAGACCCTGTCTCACCCTGTCTCAGAAAACAACTTTATGTGGCATGTAATTTAATTTTTGACCAGTGTAACCTAGAAAAGTACATGTGAAGGCATAGGTAAGTCAAACAGGTGAGTCCATGGAAATTTTCGTATCTGCACCCCCAAAATCTAGGGGATCTTGGAAAGTTCAAAGGATAGGTGACAGGTTTGATCCCTAAAAATGCAGGATGTGGACTGTGTAGAGTCCCGGTACAAAGTTGCATGAGGGCGGCTGTCATGTAAGAAATTTGTAAGGTGATGGCAGATACACCCTGCAAGTAATCAGAACAGCACCTAATTGCTAATGGCTCTCTGTGATTTAGGACTTTTTTGCCAGGTTTCTGGAGAGATTGGTCTCTTTCACTGTCGCTATTCCTCAAAAAGTAACCTCATTACTACGAAACATTGATTAATGGAAAATAAATACTGGTCTGGTTTGTGATGGTTATAAAACAATAGTCAGTGATTATAACTCATTGCTTATGAAGCTACTAAAAAATCAATTATCCCCAAATGGAGAAATAGAAGCAAATTACTTGAAAGTAATTTATTGTAGCAGTAGTTGGTATTTATGCATATTTCTGCTACAGCTTTAGCCTAAGCCCACTTTTCACTTTCAAAAAATCCAAAACAAAGCATGGAACTATGGCCGAGCATGATAACACACGCCTGTAATCCCAGCACTCAGAGACTGAGGCAGGAAGATCACCGCGAGTTCAAGGCCATCCTGCACTACTTACTGAGACTGTCTCAAAAATAATCCAAAACCCCAAAAAACCTGGCACCATGATGTGGGGAATCACTGTGAACTTTTTCTAAATCCTGTTTTTGTTGTTGCTGTCTTTGGGTGTCTGTTTGAAGCGGGTCTTGTTTTGTAGTTCAGCCTGGACTCAAGCTCACTATGTAGCCCAGGCTGGCCTCAAAAGAACTCTCAGAGCTCCTCCAGCCTCAGCCTCCCAAATTCTGAGATTACAGGTGTGCATCACTGTGCCCACCTAAATCCCACTTTGTTGTAAGATTCAAATGACCAGGTAATGATCGTGTGCAGACCTGCCTCCTCCCCTTAACGCTTCTTAAGATCTCAGGTGCTTCCTTTACGCACATCAGTGCTGCCCGCCAGCTTCCCCTTGGGTGTCTTTGTCTCCCTCCCTTTACCTCTGCTTGAAAGAACAGACTGATAATTTATGCCTCCTCACTCCTTGAACCTCCTAGCGCAGTGTCTGGCTCCCAGTCAGTGGTCTTATTAATTAAATGAATGAATCTGTAAAATCACTTTCAAAACTAATAAGTGACTAGCAAATCTGAAGCCAAGAAAGAAGTTTAGGCTCCAAAAAACCCACTAACCTGGCTATTTTCAATTGCCTTTTAGCTTCCTACCTTCCTTCCTGAAACAAAAAGAGCCTGGAAATGGAAGTCATTGGCTTTTTTTTTTTTAATTAGAGATTTAACCCCCTAAACTCATTATTCCTTTTTTTTTTTTTTTTTTTTTTTTTTGAGACAGGGTCTGGCTATGTGGTTCAGCCTGGCCTTGGACTCACTACGCAGCCCAGGCTGGCCTTGAACTTTCAGCAGTCTTGCCTCAGCCTGGAAAGGGCTGGGATTGTAGGTGTGGGCCACCATGCCAGTTAATTTTTCCTCTTGATCACTCCCCTAAAAATGTCATTTGGCTTTGTTAGGTTTTGTTCTTGCTGCTTAGCGTCTTCGCTTAACGGATCCTTTCCCGTTGTTCCGTTTTGTTAATCCCGGTGCAGTTGCTGGTGCGCTTTACCAAGGATTTCGTGAATTTCCTTGCAGCTTCAGCTCCTTGCTGGAACGGTCCTTCTCAGCCCTTTCCTCCGCCCCTCCCCTCCCAGCCAGACCTGCACATCCTGGAGAACAGTGAGAAATTCCTCGGTGGACATTTTCACCAGGTTTTGGCTCTGAGCCCTTGAGCAGCATCTGGATGGGTTCCCCGGTCAGCTCGAGGAAAACCAGACAGCTTCCAACACTCAAGCCAAGATCTGCAGGAGTTTCTTTGCCTTGTTCTAATATCTAGGCCTTTCTAGTTTCCATGTCAGCTGCTTGAGATTAAGGTATGAAGTATATGTGTTCTTACCTCCCGCCCCCACAAGTACTCATAGCCACTCATCCGGGGCAAGCAGAATAAAATCTGACTTGTACCAAACATCCTACTATTAGAAATAGACTTGGGAGTAAATCTTAGCTACATCACTTCAATATCCTCTCCTATAAAATGAGAGCAATAAAAATTATCTCATAAATAGGTCGCTGTAAAGAATGTGGCTTCTAACACCTGTTCAATCAACATTAGCTTGTTGTATGCAGAATCTCTACCTGCATAATCGAATCCACTCTGTAGATTCTTGCTAGACAAACAGCACACAGTATCCCTTCCCCCATCCCCACCCCCGACTGAAGACTGAACCTGGTGCCTTTGCACTTAGCTACACCCCTAATCTTTGTTTTATCTTTCGTTCTGAAAAAGGATCTTGCTGAATTCCCCAAGCTGGATTTGAACTTGGGGATTCACCTGTCTCACCCTCCCAGAAGGCTAAGATTATAGGCACGCACCAGCACGCACTCTTTTGAAAAGGATTGACCTGCTGTTCTGGAGTCAGACGCGCCACCCTTGCGCTACGAGGTCCTTAACCTGCTGTCCTGTAACCCACTCAGTAGTGATAACTGAGTCCAAGCTCACTATTGCTCGGACATTGTTCTGAGCACTTCCCCGCGTCAGATCTGTGAAACAGGTACAGAAAGGCTCGATACCTCACCTGAAGTCAAAGAACTACTAAGTAGAAGGGCTGAAGGTCAAACCCAGCTAGTACGGCTCCAGGAGCAATGTTCTTGTACGGCGTCCGCTTCCCATAGTTTTTAGGGAGCGCACTTCGGCTGGCGTCTGTCCAAATCTAGGGTGCTTCACGTGCAGAGAGAGCGCATGAGGAGTCCCTCTGAAGTGGAGACAGCACGGGGTGGCAGTTGCATCTGCTGACCTTGGGGAGAGAACGTTAATAGAAGAGGACCCTACAGGACGGGTCGCAGAATCTGACCAGAGGTCCAGCCCAGGTAGGGCACGCAGTCAGAGCTGGGTTGGCTTGGGGCCCCGAGCACTGGAAAGGGCTCCTCCTCGCACCGTGTGCTTCCAGAGGCTTGGGTCTAGAGCGGGGAGGACAGTGCTCCAAGGCCCCCTGAGCTTGCTCGGTGCGGGGCTTCTCGCCGTGTCATGCTTGTGTCCCAGTTGTCGATGAGCATTTCCAATCTCAAGGGAAACATTTCCACACTTCCCAGGTGGAGCACGTACTAGGCCCCTAGTAAGTGTAAATTGAAAGCATAAATCAATCTAAACACACAGATATGCTTAAATCTCAAAGGGATTTGGAGTTTACTTTTTTACAGTGAGCTAATTTTTTTTTGGGGGGGGGAACAGGGTCTTACTATGTAGTTCAGGCTAGTTTTGAATTCACTATGCAGTCCAAACTGGCCTTGAACTCACAGCGATCCTCCTGCCTCAGCCTCCTGAGTGCTGGAATTACAGGTGGGAGCCACCATACCTGGGTAAAACTGCAAATTGTATAGCTTTTAAAAATTGAATTTGTAGCTGCACACAGTTGTATGCACCTGGAATCCCAGGTACTCAAGAAGCCGAGGCAAGAGAATTGAAAGTTCTAGGCCAGCCTCAGCTACTTTAATGAAACCCTGTCTCAAAAGGAAACACAAAGGGCAGGGGCTGTGACTCAGCACTCCCTGGGTTCAATCCCTAGTGCTGGCTAAAAGAGAACAGTCATGAGAGTTGAATCTGTAGTTGAACCATAGCTGTCCATCCACACTTGTTAACGTGTTTACTCATGCATCGCTTTGACAAGTGTGATGTGGGTGCTCTGTCCCGTCCTCCACCCCAGTTAACATTTGTTAGCAGCGACAAAGTGTACTTCTTCTACCTGGAGTCCTCCTGGAGATGAGTCAGAAATAGCCAGTGTAATCCGAGGTTCTGAAGATGGTTTCGCAGCTTTTCACGTTTCATCCACTGCACTGGGAAGGAACTTCCTCCTCCTAGCCCCGTCCTGGGGGCCTTCGGTTACACAAGAAGCGGGTTAGTAAGAGACAAGGTGCAATTTTAGTTCATACTTACAGGCTAGGGGGACACAGAGACGGAACTCGGCGAGCGGTTTGGCCTGGGCTTACACACCTCTTAATAAAAGAAGGTTTGCATTTCAGGAAGTGCTACGCTGAGGGCAGTGACTGAGGTGCATGGGGGTAAAGGGAAGGTAAGAGTGCCTGTTGTAGAGCCGCATCTCCTTGCCTCCGCTCCCCGGCCTCACTGAGGGCCACCTGTTGGATGTGAAGCGACATGAGGAGCTCTTCTCTCCTTCCCCTTTGTTGGGGGGAGCAGCCCCATCTTTTCCAAAGATAAATTCATACCCAGATTTTAGGCAGCCAAAGGGAGATTGGAGAAGTCGTCCTGCATCCCCTGATTTTGTATTCGCTTTCAGTGCTGAACAGTTGTTACATCAGTGTGCGTATTTGGGGCAGGCATATTCTGATCCTTTTCAGGTGGGAAGCAGAACCTTCAGGTTAGTTGTAGCTTTGTATTACTTATATTTTGCAATTGTTTTCCCCAAGTGCTGGGATTTCAGGTATGTGCCACCATGCCTGCCCAGCTAAGAAATCCTTTCTTAGGCCAGGAGTGATGGTGCACACCAATAGTCCCAGCCCTGGGGGAGGCTGAGACAGGAGGATCGCCCAGCGCATCCTGGTGTTACCTTCAGCCCTTCCAGTCCTGGGGAGGGTAGGTGGGGTGGGCCCCTCCCTGCAGGAATGGAGCCCAAGTCTCCCAGAGCAGCTGCCAGTAGTTGCGAGGGCAGATCCCAGGTTTAAAGTACAGCCCGACCGCGGGAGGCTTCTGGCAGACTTCTGGCAGTCCCTTCCCACTGTGCACCAGGCTTGGTGGGGCCTTCTTTCTATGCAGATGCCGGAGGGCAGAGGCTGAGCGTCCATCTGCCTCCCCCTTCTTCCTTGCACCAGGGCCTGCCCTGGGATGAGTCCCTCCCAGCACTCTCTCTTCTGTCCTAGTGATCTGAAGACCCGGCTGGTGCACTGGAAGGAGCTCACCCAGGCCGGGCCATCATGACCCACCTGCTGGCCTCCGAAGTTCAGCAGCTGCTCCACAACAAGTTTGTGGTCATCCTGGGGGACTCCGTGCAGAGGGCCGTGTACAAGGACCTGGTGCTCTTACTGCAGAAGGACTCTCTGCTCACCCCCAGCCAGCTCAGGGCCAAGGGGGAGATGAGCTTCGAACAGGACACTCTGATGATTGGAGGCCAGAAGGGCTCCATGCACAGCGGCATCCACTACCGCGAGGTGCGCCAGTTCTGCTCGGACCACCACCTGGTGCGCTTCTACTTCCTCACCCGCGTGTACTCCAACTACCTGGAGGCCGTCCTGACGGAGCTGCAGGCCGGCGAGCACACCCCCGACGTGCTCATCATGAACTCCTGCCTCTGGGACATCTCCAGGTATGGCCAGAACTCCTGGAAGAGCTACCTGCACAACCTGGAGACCCTGTTTGAGCGTCTGGGCCAGGTGCTGCCCGAATCCTGCCTGCTGGTGTGGAACACGGCCATGCCTGTGGGCAGCAAAATCAAGGCGAGCTTCCTCCCTCGCGGTGGCTGGCCCTGGGCGGTCCCCCTGAAGCACTGTGTCATCGAAGCCAACTTCTACAGCTCGACCAAGGCCGTCAGCCACGGCTTCGACGTGCTGGACTTGCATTTCCACTTCCGCCGCGCCATGGGGGGCCTGCAGACAGACGGGGTGCACTGGAACGAGCACACCCACCGCCAGCTCTCCTGCCTGCTCCTGGCCCATGTGGCGGACGCCTGGGGTGTAGAGCTGCCCCTTAGGGCCCCGCTGGACACGCTGAGCCAAAGTGGTCCTGCCGAGGAACACCCTGGCCGGGGCGTCAAGCGGCGGCGCCCTGCTTATTACCAAGACCCCGGGGCCTCCCCTCCGCCGCCACCCTGGCCCCAGCCCCTGCTCGGGTCCCCGCCCTTCCCTGTGCCCGCATTCATGCCCCGGCCACCTCCACTCCTGTTCCAGTCGCCTCCTCCGGTTCCCCCTTATCAGAGGACGCCCCCCTTCCCACTCCATCCCCAGGGTCCCTATTTTTCCACAGACCATATTTTCCAGTCTGATCAGTTCTATCTGCATTCAGACATCCCCTCATCCACCCAGCCGGGATTTGCCTTTGAGATGGACTTCCTGTTTGACCCTCAGCCGCCTATGTCTGGCTTCCCCTCACCCTGTTACCAGCAGCGGGCCCCTGTGGTGTACAAAGGTTTCCCCAAGTGTCAAGTTGAGGGCCCCTACCCGCCCTGGAGAGGACAGCACCCCTATATGCCCCGGAGAGGGCGGCCCAGACAGACAAACAGACGTGCCCGGGCAAAGGCCGCAGTAGCCTGACCTCGGCCTTTTTCCTCACGGACACCACTGTGAGGTCTGTCCGGCTCCTGTTTCCCTGGGCACGGCCTGCGCACCCTGACTCCACCGATTTAAGCCCTGAGAGCAGAGGCCAGAAGCCCTCGGAGTCCATGCGTGGACATCCTTGCTCGTTGCTGCGGCCAGTAAAGGCCAGAAGAGCAGTCTGACCCATTCTCGCTGCCTATCGGCTCCACCCCCAGAGGTGACCAAGCATTATCGCTGCTTCCCCACTCCCTGTTCTTTTTGCTTTTTTGTAAAAGTAAAATTGAAATACAGAAACTGTTTCACAAAAGTAACCATGGGCTGTGTGTGAATGTGTGTTATACTTAGTGGATGGGCTTCCTCTCACAGTTTAGTTAGCTCAGTTAGAGCAAGGACAGTATCTGCTGCGTGAGCAGCTAGGGTGTTTGCTGGTGAACTCAAAATAGTTCATTTAAACTCCTGTGAAATGTTCCACAAAAGAAACTTAACTTTCTGCATTTCTGTTTTCCAGAGATTCTCAAAGAATCATTGAATTTTAGGGCTTGGAAAATGAAAGCTATAAAACAACCAACACTTCCAAACAAGGAAGCTAAAAGATGAATGACTTGCTCTAGGTCACACAGAAAATTATTCCTTAACTAACGAGTCTCTCCTGGCTTAGACTAGTTTCTGGTTTACATTAATTTTCAAACCCCCAGACTTCTACCACAGCAACATCAAACCGAGAAGAGAAGTGTGGCAAATGTGGTCTCAGCTTTGGTACTGACGGCCTAACCTTCACGGCTCGATAACTGGAGGTCTACTGCCTCCACGCGTGATGAGTTACGTACGCGGCTTGCGGGGTCGCGTGCTCCCGTCTTACTCATTCCTGGCAGGGTCCTGATTTTTTGACTCAAGAAAATTAGAGAAAAGGAAGATGCAGTGGATGACAGTGTGAATCCCCATCATAAAATGAAATTCCAAGTTGGAATTCCAGATCCCTTCTGTGTCAGTCTAACAGATGGCCATGGTGGTTGGCCTTTGTTCTGTGGGACATCACTGAGGCTCTTTAAACATTAGGTCTTTGTCGCTGTTAGATTTTGATCACGTTAGCCTTCACAATCAGCCAGCTGCCTTCATTCTGACTTTGCATTTCCCAGGCAGTTTTTAGCTGCTGCTCTGACTAAGCTGACAAGTGTAGCGTCTGTATTTCCAGAAATAAGCCAACAAATTGGTGTTCTGGTTGCTATCTTTCTCGTGAGTTAGGTTAGCAAGTGTTAATCCTCCTTAGTCTGATTGTGTCTGATGGAACGAGGAAAACGAGCGCCTATCGGCCCAGTGCTCTGGCCAGACTGGAGTCTGACACATCTGATTCCCTTTCCCTCAGGCGGGGGAGACTGAGGTACACGCGGTCAGGGGCGGTCTTTCCCCTCACTAACATACTGCTTACAGCTTCTGTATAAATACCACAAAACCGTGTATCTATTCTCCTACAGTTCAGGGGATCAAAAATCTGGTCCGTAACTCCAAAGTGAAATCCTTACTGTATCCAACACTGCCCTGCCCGTGCAAGGTTACCCTTGAGGCTCCCTTCACTGATCCAAAGATGGGGCTTCACCAGTCCATGTAGTGTCAGGCTCTTTGCAGGTCTTTGCACTTGTGTTCCCTGTGCCTGGAATGTTCTACGTCCCTACTTCCCGACTCCCCGAATAGCTAACATTCCATCCTTCCACCCTTGCCTTCCAAGTCACGACCTAGAGGGAGTTAATTCCATGACCACTGGGTCAACAGGCCTTCTACAACCTGTTCTCACACCTTCATTTCTTTGTATCATTTCTGTCACTCAGCAGTGGCTGCGGTGGGCGCTGGTCAGACTTTTCCAGAAATAAAGCTCCCTTCAGTCTGTTCACTGTTGAGTTCCCAGTGCCGATAGCATAGTGGCTGGCAAAAAGGTTAAATTTACAAAAATAGAATTAATGCACAAGAACCAGTTTGTGTTAAAGTTGAGCAGCTCTGGATTCCTTTTCTCTGGAAAATGTCACAGGACTCTCTGTGACTACCTAAATTGCCCTGGGTGGCTGCCCCTCCCCCTCACTGGGCCCAGCTCCACCACCCCTGATGGCACATTCCGGGGACACGCGTTTAATTTCATACATATCCTGGCCTTTATCTTCCAGCCAACGGCCTTCTTCTTGCTTGCTCCTTAAATCAGGAGACCTAGCAATGCAATCAAGCTATTGTCTGATAAAAAGCCAAAATTATTCTGCATTTATGAGAGAAATTATTTCTCCATTGTTGTGACTTAGAATCCACTGATCACTTGGCCTGTTCTTCAGCCCTAAGAAATAACAGCGCTTGGAGCTTTTCATACTTGACTCTTATCTCAAGTTTTCTTGAAAAAGAAAAACACAGTAAAATTAAGGATGAAATTGACATTATCCAAGCAGTGTTTAATTCTCACAAGGCTGTGTAATAATATGGTTCGCGGAAGACCAAAACTTCAAAGCTGTACCTATAGTTTCCCATAAGTACAAAGAAAGCAATGCTCAGCGTTTGAAAACAACTTCCTACCCAAGGAGTGTAGGAGCCTCGTAAGCCACGCCCCCATTATCACCGCAGAGCTCTGGGTGCCGGGAGGCGACACTCACATTTCATTCTGGAGTTGTGCAAAGCAGTTGCTCTCCTTCATGTGCATAAATTCTGCAAAGGTAAATGGCTTTGAAAACATTATTAAAATTTGTGTCAGAGCCAGGGAGGCTGAGAAGGATAGCTTGAGCCCAGGAATTCAAGATCAGCTTGAGCAATATAGCCAGACTTGGCCTAAACACACACAAAAAGTCAGATCAGAGACAGGATTCACCCTTGTTTTAAGCTATTACACATTTGTCCCTATGAACTCTGGGAACAACATTCTCATCCTCACAACTTCCTGAGAGTCTTCTACCACTGCAGACTTCATTTATACAGGTTTTTTTCGAAGACTACCTCTGAAACTTCACAACTAAAGCATCGTTTCCTGAAATATATCTCCTTGACCCATAATCTTATCTCCATAGGCAATCTCTAGACACCCATGTTTGCAAAATGATTCATCTCATAGTCGCCCCATCTGGAAATTCACAATGACTTTTTTTGTTTTTTTTTTCATTTTTAAAAAATGTTTTTCCTACATAATGACTTTTAATGAATCAGAAGCTCTAAGAAGTTCTGCTGGAAATCTAAATGTGCTTAAATTAACCTACTGTCTGCTACTTTACTTAACCACGGTATCGTTTTCTTCTCTTTTGTCCTTCTGAGACATTGTCTGGCTATGAACCCTTGGCTGGCCTCAAACTTTTGATTCTGCTGCCTCACCCTCCCGAGTGCTGGCATTGCTGGCGGGCCCCACCACCACGCCCAGCTTCTAGAATCATTTTCATTTGTCAATCTTTTAAATACATTTTGGGGAAATTCTGTTCTGAAAGATAACAGATAAAAGGTGAAGGTAAGTGAAGAGGTTTTTTTGTTTTTTTTAAATCTCATGAACGACATTTTATACAGACGCCCTTTTCTAGCACAGCAGTGCAGCAATGTTTGCCTAGTTATGAGCTGTTTGTTAGGTGAGCTTGAGCTTAGCACTGGAAGAGGTAGGAATGGGAGGATGGGGCAGTGATTCCTCCTTCCTCTGAATGGAGAGTGTTGGGATAGCCAGCCCTGATGACCAGTGCCTGGACATGCCCCGTCCAGCCACAGAAGGTGGTGCACAGCGGAGAAGCGCTGGACGGGTGACCCCGGGTCTCAGCAGAGCCCCGGCTGCATCCCATTGGAGCATGGTAATTAGAAAAAAAAGAAGTAATGTTAGAGGTCACTCGGAGAGTCATTCAATAAGAGCACCCTTTTCAGCGCTTAATCCCCGCGTTGTCAGGAGCAGGACGGGAAAAGGCCTGTTTCGGAGGAACAAGAGCACCCGCAGGAGCAGCTACGGCAAAGATGCCGCGCAGCAGGAGGGACCCGAGCGCCCAAGTGGTGGTCTGACTTCCTCATCTGGGCTCCGGACAGGTGCCCTTTATCATACTGCGAGCGTGACACCTCTGATAGGGCAGCCGATGCATGGCTTCCTGAACGCGGTGTCTTCACTCATTCCTGTGTCCGGCTCAGCTAGTAGTTTTTGTTCTTCTATTTCATCTCAGCAATTACAACACAACTGGATTGATCTTCCCCGGCATCCACGCTAACCCTCGCCACACCATGCCCTCAGACAGGGTTCTCAACGTTACTTAGTGTGTCTCAGGGCCTCCCGGGGGGCTTTACTAAAACACCATTCTGCAGCCTCTCCACCCCCAAGTCTCAACTCAGTGTGTCCAGACAGCCTCGAACGTACGGCTCTAATTGTTCTCACATGACGTGGTCCGTGCTTTGAAAACGACTATTGTAAGTTTTTTCACCTAAAAGTATAGAAATATTCAACCACTGCTAACTCTTTTTTTCGGTTTTTCTCCGGTACCGGGAACCGAACTCACCACCTTGCACTTGCCAGGCAGGCGCTTTTGCCGCTGAGCTAAATCCCCAGCCCCCTACTGCTAACTCTTTTGCTATATTACATCTTTTTTGTTGAAGTTTGTTTATTTTTGTGGTACTGGGGATTGAACCCTGGGCCTTCACACTTGGGTATCTCCTCAGTCCTTTTTTTTATATATTAATTTGTGACAAGCTCTAAGTCACTCAATTGCCAGGCTGAGCCTGAACTGTGATCCTTCTGGCTCAGCCTCCCAGAGTGCTGGGATTAGAGGTGTGCGCCACCATTCGCAGCTTTGTTGAATATTTTAAAGTACTGATTTTGTAATCTTTCATCCCTAAGTGTTAGGAAATAAAGACATTTTCCTACATAACCAAACAATGGGTATTGTATCCAATATAATTGACATAACTTGCTGATATCATCTGATCCCCAATCCCAAAAATGCTGTATAGAATTATTCAAGCTGAGATACACTAAGGAGTTACTCATTGCCTCAGTTATTATATCTCCAGAAATCTCTTTTAATCTAGAAAAGGACGCAATACACATTGTCTTTCTGTCAAATCACTGATTTGCTGAAAAGAACGTCCTATAGAATATCCCACTTTTGGAGTCTAACTTCTTCATGGTTATCACTTAACTTTTACTTTACCCCTATGTTTCCTGTAACGTGAATGGTAGCTCCAAAGACTTGAGTAAATTCAAATGAGATACTTTTGGTAGAGCACTTCGTAGCTGAAGTATTATACCTTATGTTATACCATCGCAGGAGACATGTCAGGTGGTTTTCCCCATATTCAGTGCTAATCTTGGTCACTAAGTAAAAGGGAAGACAGC